ACCACCACCACCACCACCACCACCACACACCACTACTACACCACCACCACCACCACCACCACCCACCAACCACCACCACCACCACACCACCACACCACACCACCACCACCACCACCACACACCACCACCACCACCACTCCACCACTACCCACCAACCACCACACCACCCCACCACCACCACCACCACCACCACCACCACCACCACCACCACCACCACTACCACTACTACCCTACCACCACCACCACCACCACCACCACCACCACCACCACCACCACCACTACTACTACTAATCCTACCACCACCACCACCACCACCACCACCACCACCACCACCACCACCACCACTACCACTACTACTAACCAACCACCACCACCACACCACCACCACCACCACCACCACCACCACCTCACCACTACCACCACCACCACCACCAGACCACCAATGCATACAAAAAACCCACATCATCGAACTAACTAGGCTAAGTAACAGGTCTCTCTCTTGCCTGGCTCTCTGTGTCATTATCACCCAGGTAATTGACTCTGGTGTGAATATTTATGGTATGTAAGGAGTCAAGAGGTGGGGAGGGTCATCCATCACTACCTGGGAGAATCATCCATCACTACCTGGGGAGGGTCATCATCCATCACTACCTGGGAGAGTCATCCATCACTACCTGGGAGGGAGGGTCATCCATCACTACCTGGGAGGGCATCCATCACTACCTGGGAGGAGTCATCCATCACTACCTGGGGGAGAGTCATCCATCACTGCCTGGGAGGAGGGTCATCCATCACTACCTGGGAGGAGGGTCATCCATCACTACCTGGGGGAAGTCATCCATCACTACCTGGGAGGGAGAGTCATCCATCACTCCCTGGGAGAGGGAGTGGGAGGGTCATCCATCACTACCTGGGAGGGAGGGCCATCCATCACTACCTGGGGGAGAGTCATCCATCACTGCCTGGGAGGGTCATCCATCACTACCTGGGAGGGAGGGTCATCCATCATCTACCTGGGAGGGAGAGTCATCCATCACTCCCTGGGAGCATCCAGGGAGGGAGAGTCATCCATCACTCCCTGGGAGGGAGAGTCATCCATCACTCCTGGGAGGGAGAGTCATCCATCACTCCCTGGGAGGGAGGGTCATCCATCACTACCTGGGAGGGAGGGTCATCCATCACTACCTGTCATCCATCACTACCTGGGAGGGAGAGTCATCCATCACTCCCCTGGGAGGGAGAGTCATCCATCACTCCCTGGGAGGAGAGTCATCCATCACCCCTGGGAGGGAGAGTCATCCATCACTCCCTGGAGGGAGAGTCATCCATCACTGGGAGGAGTCATCCATCACTACATCCATCACTACCTGGGAGGGAGAGTCATCCATCACTACCTGGGAGGAGAGTCATCCATCACTACCTGGGAGAGGAGAGTCATCCATCACTACCTGGGAGAGAGTCATCCATCACTCCCTGGGAGGAGAGTCATCCATCCATCATCACTGGGAGGAGAGTCATCCATCACTACCTGGGAGGAGGGTTATCCATCACTACCTGGGAGGGAGAGTCATCCATCACTACCTGGGGAGCATCCGTCACCACCTGGGGGAGAGTTATCCGTCACTTCCTGAGGGGGAGAGTCATCCGTCACTACCTGAGGGGGAGAGTCATCCATCACTACCTGAGGAGGGACGGTCATCCATCACTACTTGGGAGGGAGGGTGGGTCATCCATCACTCCCTGGGAGGGAGGGTCATCCATCACTACCTGGGAGGGAGGGTCATCCATCACTCCCTGGGAGGGAGGGTCATCCATCACTCCCTGGGAGGGAGGGTCATCCATCACTCCCTGGGAGGGAGGGTCATCCATCACTCCCTGGGAGGGAGAGTCATCCATCACTACCTGGGAAGGAGGGTCATCCATCACTTCCTGGGAGGGAGAGTCATCCATTACTGCCTGGGAGGGAGAGTCATCCTTCCTGGGATCATCCATCACTACCTGGGGAGAGTCATCCGTCACTACCTGGGGGCGGAAGAGTCATCCGTCACTACCTGGGGGCGGAAGAGTCATCCGTCACTACCTGGGGGCGGAAGAGTCATCCGTCACTACCTGGGGGCGGGAGAGTCATCATCCGTCACTACCTGGGGGCGGGAGAGTCATCCATCACTACCTGGAGGGGTCATCCATCACTTCCTGGGAGGGAGAGTCATCCATCACTACCTGGGGGGAGAGTCATCCATCACTACCTGGGGAGAGTCATCCATCACTACCTGGGGAGAGTCATCCATCATTACCTGGGGGAGGGTCAGTCATCCATCACTACCTGGGAGGGAGAGTCATCCTTAGATGGATGATAAAAGCGTGAGAAAAATGGATGGCAGACAACCACTCATCGATCCAATGAGCGTCGATACAGAGCTTCTTGCACACCTAACCTAACCTAACCTAACCAAATCTGATCACCCAAACGCTGACCTAACCTAACCTAGCCTAGCCTAACGCCAACAGATAACGTTAGAAATGGTTAATCCTCTTAGCGTGACTTGTGAAACTACGAACATAAACCACGTGTAGTTTAAAGCCATCTTGACCTGTTGAAGCAGTACATTACACATAACAGTATATTACCTTAAAACAACACCATTTCTCTTTATACAGGTTAGGTTAGGTTAAGTTAGGTTAGGTTAGGTTAGGTTAAGTTAGGTTAGGTTAGGTTAGGTTAGGTTAGGTTTATAGTGTGTTATACGTTAGGAGTTTACAAGGTGCTCTCATACGTGTGTGTGTGTGTGTGTGTGTGTGTGTGTGTGTGTTAGGTGGGCTTATGGACACGAAATCAGTATGCCACTAATAGTAAAGTACTATATACAAAAAATCTGTGTTGTGCTAGAGTGAGAAAATATTACCCAAATTTGGAAATGGTTGTGTTAAAATCTGGGTATCTTATTTACGATAACTCAAATGATTTTTTTTAATTCTTCTTTTTATGCTTCCTCCTCCTTCTTCTTTTTCTTTTTCTTCTTTCTTCTTCTTCTTCTTCTTCTTCTTCTTCTTATACTCCTTATACTTCTTATACTTCTTATTTTTATTTTTATTTTTATTTTTATTTTTCATCTCTCTACCTTTTCTACCTCTTTCTACCTACCTCTTCTTCTCTACCTCCTTCCTCCAATGAAAACATAAGCTACCGTCCCCAGAAAAAGGCAAAATAAAGCAGGTTCTGTTGAGGTCATGAATCTAATAATATGTAAATGGTGCTAAAGGGTTTATGCAAAAAGTATCCGCTGCTCATCTTAGTCAGTAATTGGTAGGTAGCCTTCACTCTCCCAGGAGGTCAGGTAGACTAATGTGAAGATAATGTTACTTTCAATGGGAAGACTATCTCAATACCTAACCTAACCTAACCTAACCACATACAAGGATGAAAATTGTCTGGCATCGTTGTGAATTTAATCTTAACTATACAGACAGCGAGAACAAACAAACAAACACAACCAAACAAACAACCAAACAAACAACCAAACAAACAACCAAACAAACAACAACAACACAAACGCACACGAACAAACTCTTCAAGCATGGCATATACTGTGTGTGTGTGTGTGTGTGTGTGTGTGTGTGTGTGTGTGTGTGTGTGTGTGTGTGTGTAGCCCAACCTTCCACCACACATACACGTGCATTACTGTAGGCTATTAAACGTGAGGAGAGCAGCTAACGAGGTAATATACCCAGACAGGAGAGATATCACCCGGCACACCTACACTCAGGTACAGGTAATCAACAGGCACACACATATATAAGGAACAGATAGGCAGAAGTACATATGGATACAGTTCGGTACAGCTACACTTCGGTACAGACACGATGGGTACGTGAATATATTAAAGGGTATAGATATAGGTACAGGTAAATACAGGTACATTTAGTACAGGTAAAACCAAGATGGGGATACAACTGGTCGACGAAGGGGGGTGGGTGGTGGTTGATGTGCGTGTGGTATGGGCGTGGGCGTAGGTGAGTACCCGTGACGTGCTCGGGCGCCCACACTGTGTAATTACCCCGGAGATAACGTGGCAGGAATCACAGCCTCGTCCCGCCCCCAGCTGTACCACCCTAGTGAGAGCCGCCACCCAGAGGTCCAGAGGTCGTCGACGATTGAATTTTTACGACAGAGCTGTACCACTAACCACCACCGCCTACCTGTTAAAACCTGCCGTCATCTGTGTTTATACGAGCCTAGACTACACCTCGACCCATCAAAGAAATGAATCCGTCGTCTGGAGGGGGTTAACGTGTGGACAGCGGGGTGGTGTAGTGGAAGGGGTGTTGGGACAGGTGACCACTACAGCGGGGTTGGTATACCTGTAATTACTAGCTGGGGTGTGAGTGTTCAGGTGTAAATGGGGTGCTCAGTAGCAGGCACCACAACACCTCGCAAGTGTAAGGCACAAGCGAGGCTGGCTGGCTCGATGCCTCGCTGGCTGGTTGGTTGGCTGGCTCGATGCCTCGCTGGCTGGTTGGTTGGCTGGCTTGATGCCTGGCTGGCTGGTTGGTTGGCTGGCTTGATGCCTGGCTGTCCTGCTGGTTGGCTATCATGGTGCCTGGCGAGTTAGTTGGTTGGCTCAAATGCGGATTGGCTGTTTAGCTGGCTACATAATTGGCTGGTTAGTTGCACTGTGAAGTACCTCCACACAAGCACAAGAATGGTTTTTAAAAGTATGTGAAGGAGACGATGACTTTCAACTCTGGGACATGTTAAAAAGAGTCTTGGTCTGGTTCCCTCCTCTCTGGACTCTGCAGTTGGTATGTCACGAACCGGACATTGTAATCAAGGACGACTTGGCCACGGACGTTGTGGACTTGTTTGCTTCAGCCACGGACTTCTCAGCTCGGTGTAATTGTCTGCTTACATCCCAACCATTTCAGACGTGGGTTAGGTTAGGTTAGGTTAAGTCAAGTTAAGCCTAGTACACACCTTTAGGTTCCAGTAACAAAACAAGAAATGAATATTCAGTTTTATTTTCTAAATATGTAGTTGATAAAATAAATATTCATAGAAAACAGTTCTCAGTTACGATCACCTGTATGTGGCGTGAACACTGCCAAATTTACCTGTTTAACATATAACTTATCCATCAATTAAGCAACATGTAACTTATCCATCAATAAAACAAATTATTAATACACATCACCATTCTTTAGTCAAAATCATTCTTATCCTCAGAATTCTAATTTAAAGACGATGGGTAAATATATTTTTTCTCTTCAGCACAATCCGTAGTTAATAACGAGGTATACGGAGGGCGCGTTGAAATTTTGAAGCGGTTACACCTTCGTTTACGATTCTTTGATTACATTTTCTTTCTTTACCTGAGATATAAGAACATGTAGTCCTATTATTCTCAAACTTTTATTATGATAAAACACTAACGTAAAAATCATTGGAAGAACCCAACTCAGGTTATTGGAAGTCAGGGTTATGAAACTTCTATGCTTCGAGGGACGCTATCGTGTTTACCGGCTAATGTTCCTAAATAGTCCAATGTTTTAATGCTTGACGGTCAGAATAGCGAGTCTTATAGTATGCTCTGAAATACTTCCTCTGAATGATCAACTGAAATGGGAATTTATGTTTGTTTTGGGTTCTGAAAACGCGGGAAACTCTTGTTGATGTGCCTTGACGGATACTGAAAACGCGGGAACTCAGGCAGGCTGCGTCGTGACTGTTGAGGTGCTGGTAACTAACTCCTCAGTACCTCGTATTTTTATCACCTGCCGAACGAGAATAATTTAGTGTCATTGTAATTAAACAGAGAGAAAGATTCAGAAACAGACAGACAGAAATAAAGAGGAGACAGAGAATATGAAGATAAAAGAGAAAGAAAGATTTCTCCCATAGACGAATAAAATGGCAACAAACGACAAGCAAAAAAATAGTGTAAATAATAATAATAATAATAAAATAAATCCAATAACACTCGCCATCACTAACCATTTCACCCTCACCCTCCCCCTCCTTCGTGGTAGGGGTCGGGTCGTTCCATGGTTGGACGTCGGCAGAGATGAACACGAGGTAGAAGGTGTTGCAGATGAAATAGATGACAGAAGCGATGATAAACACAGTCCTCCAGGCACTCAAGGTTTGCTGAGAAGGAGAGTGGGGGAATATAAGGGGGAGTGAGGGAGAGAGTGTGTGTGGGGGGGGAGGGGTTCTTAGGCTAGAGTGAGGGTGTGTAAAGGACTCGAGATTATTTGGTTAGGTTAAGTTGAGTCGCCCTAGGTTTGTATATTCAGATTGTGTTCGTCTCATACGTCCATGAAATTTCTGGACAAACTGAGAGAGAGAGAGAGAGAGAGAGAGTACTTACGTTACCATCAGTCAAGGCTCCTGTAACCGAGGGACTAATGAAACCCGGCAGTGTAGCGACAGTGTTGGTGATACCCATCAGAGTCCCAGCCAAGTTAGGGGAGAGGTCTTGGTGGGAACACATATACCCACTGAAGATGGCCCCGTTCATGCCCACGGCCAGACAGAGCACCACCATGGCTAACACGGAGTTGCAGTTGACGAAACACATGGCAATCATGCCTACCATTGGTCCATATATTCCTGTTAACGAATACAAGAGAACGGGTGTTGTGTTTACAGCTGGAGTATGATGACGACGCTTCCAGCACTCCCTAGTACACACACACACACACACACACAGTACGTGTACAATATAATTTCACGCCCGTACACAGGTGGGATTTACAGTCATACCCGGATACGCGTGGATTTTTGTCTTTCCTCACCTATGATGTTGGAGATCTTTCTGACGGCGAGGATGGAGAGTCTCTTGGTAACCAGGAGCCAGTCCATGAGGTTACTGTAGATGATACTGAAGAGCCAGTTACACAGGTACGGCAACCCGGACCTTATCCCGTTCTGTAGGTGAGGAACACTTGGTCACTCGCGAGCTGGCTGTGTGTTTGTAGTTAATCTTAACGAGTCCAGGGGTTAATGTCACTCAAAGCACTGTACTGTATATTTGTGGCAGAACCTTTCAGGCATTATCTGGGGGCACTTACAGGTACTAGCTGGAGACATCTACAGGTGCTAGCTGGAGACACCTACAGGTGTTAGCTGGAGGTACCTACGGGAGCTAGGTGGAGGTACCTACGGGAGTTAGCTGGAGGTGCCTACGGGAGTTAGCTGGAGGTGCCTACGGGAGTTAGCTGGAGGTGCCTACGGGAGTTAGCTGGAGGTACCTACAGGAGTTAGCCGGAGGCACCTACAGGAGTTAGCTGGAGACACCAAGAGGAGTTAGCTGGAGGCACCTACAGGAGTTAGCTGGAGACACCTACAGGAGTTAGCTGGAGGCACCAACAGGAGTTAGCTGGAGGCACCAGCAGGAGTTAGCTGGAGGTACCTACAAGTCTTAACGAACGTTACATCAACACTCACACTCTTCATGTCAAAGTGCTGGATGTTGCTGAGGTAGGTGGGGAGCTCCGTCAAGAGCGTGTAGAAGCCCCAGTTGCTGCCCAAGTGACCCATCACCGCAGCCCACACCGGCATCGATGTCAGTATCGCCTTCCACGGCAACACTACTGGCTGGTGACCATTAAGTAAACATTCCTCATCTCACTCAGGAATCCAGTACATCATAAAACATTTAAAGTGTAGCACGAATCACCAAAGATTAAGCACCCAAGTTTATTTCGCTTGAAGTTGAACCATCCAAATGCTAACCTATGTCATTTATGATTTTGGAACGATATCAACTTGAGTTGAAGACAAATAATTAATTGTTAGTTATTGTTATGTTACCTTTACCGTCTTAACATAATCACTTCGCCTATAACAAGGAGAAAATAGTTACGATATCAAAACACTGACAACTAGAACGTAGCCTAACTTTAACCGCCCTGATACCGTGACGCTCACAACTTAAAATAAAAAAAATACTTAATAACAAAACTATATTGAGTAATATGATTACTGACTCAATGAACCGGTGTACAGTCCACCAGATGAAAGAAAACTGAATGTTAAAAAAAGGTCAACATTTCCAGGAGTAACTATGTAAATCTTGTACACTAGACAATACCTTGGTTCTTTTATTGCCACAGTAGTGTAAAATGTAATGTTTCTCCTCTTCAGAGATTCTTGGATGAAGCTGAGGGTGATTATACGCCAGGCAGAACCAAGCAATGCTCCAGATAACTCCTAGACCACCAAAGACGTAGAATACAGAAGGCCAGCCCCCCAAGAAGTCAGAGTCACACATCCACCCGCTAGCGGTCAGCGTTACCACCGTCCCAAACTGTGCACCTGCGCAGATAATTTCCTCAAGATATAAGTAAATTAATGCTCGTTGACAGTATCTTATGATTATTAATCTATAGAAAAGATAGAGTATATCACACATTAATGCACTACAAGTTAATTAAGCTTTGTTATAAAGTTATTACTGACACTTACATCAACAATAAAAAATAATAAGATATAAAACTCTATGGTTAATTAAAATTGTGTGTGTGTGTGCGTGTGCGTGTGTGTGCGTGTGTGTGCGTGTGTGCGTGCGTGCGTGCGTGCTGGCCGACCTTCAGGTAATTTAAAATAAGTGAGATGCTGTAGAGAAAAGGGTGGAAAGGAGGCACCTGGGAGTGATGAACATATGGTGGTGGAAGGTGTTGTTGGTGGTGGTGACGATGGGAGTTGTTATTGTTGGTGGTGGTGATAGTGGTGGTGGTGGAGACATACCAGCGTACACTAGACTAGAGAGTTTGGCTCGCTCGTTGGGCGGCACCCAGCTGGCCAGCATGAAACTCATAGCCGGGAAGGTCACTCCCTGTCACACACGATGTATAACCTAATTAAATTACAAACAATGGTACAGTTTACATTCATTACAGGTGTTTTTATTAGTACAGGTATCCCTACATGTACAAATACAGGTTGCGTCATCCTCGTACATACTAGATCTCTCCCTCATGAAATCCTAATTATCCTTCTACATCTTCCAGGACCTCTTAAGACTCATCATCCTACCTCGGTGAATCCTTCGAATATCCTAAGCGTAATGAAGAGCGGAGCGGAGAACTCGGCACATATGGGAGACAAGATGGTGAACAGAGACGTCAGGAGGACCCCCATACCGTACACCAGCTTGGGGCCCACGTACTCCGCCGCCCGTCCACCCATTAGGTTCGTCACCGCATAACCATAGAAGAACGAACCCAGAACTAAGCCTTGTGTGTCTCCATTCCAGTCGAAATCGCCGCCCTGTAGAAGGTAACGTAAATTTATTACATTTGATTTTCTAAAGGGTATCGATGTTCCTTGAAGTTTGGGTGTGTGTTGTGTTTTGTTATATTAACTTATATTCTCTCTCTCTCTCTCTCTCTCTCTCTCTCTCTCTAAACATAGGAAACATGACATTACATAACACATCTCTCTTTCGACCTATGACAGTACATAGCAACCTCTCTTTCCTTCTCCATCTTTTAAAATATGACAACACAAAATCACATTTAAAACAAATGTCACATAGGGCAGAGTGTATGACTTTTCTTTACAGGAAATAGTCCACCCGGGCACAGGTCAACCCACATCGGAACCTAGGGGCCAAAAGATATGAATAAAAAGAAATTTTAAATAGAAGGGAAAAAGACGATATTAATCTGTACCACGAAGATGCCGGAAAATCAGGTATTTGAAGCGAGACAGATTGTATGAGTATGGAAACACAGAAGGCGGCAGAGCATTCCACAGTTTGGCTGTGTGAGGAAAGAAGGATGTACACACTACAACCCATGACAACTGACGACACGGGGGAACACGTGAACCCTAACCTCATTATCACTCTCATCTGGGTCATAGTCGTCTGGAAAGGGACACACATCTCCATCATGGTCGCTGGTGTTGTCATGAGGTTGAGGTTTGACCATAGCCACTATCGCCACGGAGAGATTCACCCTCATCGCGTACACCACGGCGAATCCAAGAAATCCCAAGAGAGCGAGAGTATGACGAGCACCCCAGAGAATCTTCGGTCCTGGGTGGAGAAAGAAGAGGCGTATGGGGGAGATGAAGTGTGGGGGTGGTGAGGTGTGGGGTTGGTAAGTTGTGGGGGTGGTGAAGTGTGGGGGTGGTGAAGTGTGGGGGTGGTGAAGTGTGGGGGTGGTGAAGTGTGAGGGTGGTGAAATGTGAGGGAGGTGAAATGTGTGGGAGGTGAAATGTGTGGGAGGTGAAGTGTGCGGGTGGTGAGATATGGTGGAAGGGTTAGGTGGGGGAGGGGAGTTATGGTAGAGGGGTGAAGGTGGGGTGGGCTGAGGGATGGGATGCTACTAGATCTGTCAATCTATTAAAATATTTTTTACTGTTTCCATGTATTCATTCTTCTGAGTCTTAGCTGTGTTATCTTATGTGCCTACTTCACGTATGAAAAATATACAAATTTGCAATAAAAAACCCGACAACATGATGTGTATTACTTGGAACATGTTGGTGGTCCTCTACCAGTTCCTGACGGTACTCCGCCTTCGTCACTACGAGGTCCTCTATTGAGGACATCATCCCCCAATCCACCTGGTCTTTCTGTTGAACACGCAGATCCTACGTCCTTGCTCCTGTCCTTAAAGTACTCTCAAGGGGATTACTGTGTACAGTGGCCAGATGACGAAGTTGGTCCCAGCTCTTACTGCTTATTGCCAAGACTGCAAGATGAAATAATAACACTAGGCTTTTGTCTTCAACTTTTTCTCATGAGGATAGGTAAGGTTAAGTTAGGTTAGATTAGGCTGTTTCCTCAATATTCCTCATTCTTATGTAACACGAAAATCTTTAATAACATTTAAGCCAGTTTGGAAGAGTTGGAACTTTGATGAAATGTTAAAAGTTGTGTCCCGTAGACCGAGTCCTTTTCCGGATACTATGCGCAACCGCTTTCATTTTTTCCCAACTGTAAAATTAGGTACAAGTACTGTACTCTGTTAAGTGATCTGGAGGTACTGGCGACCTTTCATCATTGAATCTCTCTCTCTCTCTCTCTCTCTCTCTCTCTCTCTCTCTCTCTCTCTCTCTTATCCCTGTTTCACAGCATTTTCTCTCTCCTCTGCAGTATATTTCACCTGAAGGTTAATCACCCTAACGCTAACCTAATTACGTCTCTAAAGCCGACCTTACCTAACATTTAAAATAATATGACATTAGTGAACCTTACCTAACCTTAATCCCTTAGATAACGTTAGGGCAGTTAATCCCCATGTGAAAGAAGCTTATGGTTGGGTGAATTTTCGGTAATCCTAGAGATGACGACTAACACCAGAGGGCGTTGTTCAATTTCGTTCATTTTTCCCACAGATGTTCTTACCTAATAGAACCTGACCTAACCAACCAGAGAAACCTACCTAACCTTACCTATCTTCCTAGCTCCACCTCCCAAACACCCGCCATATAAATCAGAAAGTACTTATTTTGATATCTTGTAACCATGAAGCAACTTGGTTGAAGTGTCATGGTGTAATTTTACGTTTTATGTGGACTTAAGAGTACTCTCAGTCGGTTGTAAACAAACTAAGCAGCAACACTCACTGATACGGCAAACTTTTCCGAGTTGTGTTTATGGTTAACAATTTTTTCACGTACAAAAATCACTTGGAGACTTCATTTTAGGGTCATATGATCAGTTTTTCACCGTGTTTTACCAGGCAATTTCCTTCATCCTCCATGCCGTGCTCACTACAGGTGATTTATGACCGTATAGAAAAATAAAAAAAATAATACAACTGAAAAATATTTATAATTTAAAAAAAAAGTTGTGCTTAATCTATAGGACTAACCCGCGGACGAGTTATTTTTATTAGTTTATTTTCTTGCAATATTTTCATCAGTGAGTTCTCATATGATGATAATCATTTATTGTGGAAATTCTTCGTTTCATAGATAATTAGGCGCCTAGGCGAGGATTAATTTGTATTGTGGGCGGTAATGAGGTCGCCCATAGCTAAGGCGCTAGTTTTACCACGCCCGGGGCAGTTTGTTTTTCAGCATGTCGTGTGAAGGCTGTTGCATGTACGTAATTTGCGAATTTAGGGATAAAGACAACGGGTCCCTTCAAATGTTCAAAGACCACGGGAGTGTTCATTTAAATAGAGACTGTCCACACTGCGGGAATTCCTGTACTTTCACACCGGAATTTTTTTTTTTCATTACTTCCTCAACGCCGTGGCTCGACCTTTCCCGCCATTACAATAAATCACACCGCCGACAGGGCTATGTAACGCCGATGCGGCCGTATCATGTCACGTCCAGAAAATGCCTCAAATTTTACCATATTATCGAAAGTGCTTTCTGTTTAATATACCTGGGAGTCCTGGGTGCTGTAAGGAATTTAGGTAAGGTTAGGTAGGTTTGTTTGGTTAGGTCTGTTCTTCATACCCACAAATGTTAAGTAACGTTTATTTGAATAATATAAGTTTTTTAGCATATTTCCAAAAACTACAACAATGTCCACTGTAATATAACAGTGAAAATCTGGCGTTTTTATAATTGTTTTCAATCAATTTCGCTCTCGGGTTAGTCCTATATAATTACCCCCCCCCCCATTTTTTTTGAGGAGATTAACCAACCCGGGCACAGGTCACTGACCTACATCAGGGCCTGGGGGGCGAAAATATAATAATAATAACAATGATATTGATATTATTATTACCATCATCGCCATGATCATTATTATTACTATTATTAAAATAAATCATCAGGTGATCCCACTAAAGCACCTGCATTCCAAAGGACCTTACATGTACAGTATATCCTTACCCAAGTATACAGGTAGGCTTGTCGGTGTGCTTATCTAGGGTCAGTACTCATGGTTGTCAATATCAACACGAGGACTGATAAAAGGCGAGAGAGTGAAGTAGAACCAAATTGATAACCTCAATTACTCATGTAAATTTTCGGTAGGTTGTGAGTCCGACCTCCACATGCGTTACATAGAAAGAGATAAGAAAGAGAGAGAGAGAAATAGAAAATAGGGAGAGACAGAGAATGAGAGATAGATAGGGAGAGAATGAGAAACGGAGAGATAACTTTTCTCGCATAATGGTTTGGCTAAGCTGAACCATCCTCAACATGGATTTTAAAAATAATTGAAGAGATTGAGAGAATGATTGTAGGAGTATGGGATAAACAACCAAATGGTGACAATGTGAGAGAAGAAAAGAGATCAGAGTCGAATTTACTGCAGCCTTGAATAAACTTAAACTTAACTGCTGCCATATGGCATCACGAAAATTGTGACCAAGTCCCAGGTTGATAATTTGACTTTCTGCCTCATTTACACACAATTGCAGGGTCTCAATTGTTTCTCTTACTATTAACAACACAACATACATATATTGTTTCTCACTTTTTATCTTTTCTTTTCATTTTTGTATTTCATTATTATTATTATTATTATTATTATTATTATTATTATTATTATTATTACACTGTTGTCATTATTATTGTTATTATATTTTATTATTTTTTATATAAATTTAATTAATTATAAATTATTATTATTCCATTTTCGCCCCCAGGCCCCGATGTGGGCCAGTGACCTGTGTCCGGGTGGGCTAATACCTGTAAAAAAAAAATAATAATCCCTTGCACCTGTTATCTCAAAAAAAAATTGACAAGCTAATTTCGGCTTTTATATGAAGGATACAAAATATATTAACGCACTTAATATAGGAAAGACGAGATATTTTATTAGTTCTATTTTGTTCGGGGAAGAAACAGCGTTAAACTGAATTAGTTTCGTATTTTCAGTCCGGTGAAATACCTGGATTCACCTTCTTGTCATTTAAAAACATCCCTTTAAATTTCACAAATAAAATGAGGGTTTCCTTCATAATAATGTCTAATATGAAGTTTGTGACCTCAGCGGACCTCCAAGAAGAGGGTGCAACCATCTGACTTCTAAGTTTCCCAGCTAATGTTCCTAACAAATAAATAAACGTTGTCTATGCTACAACATTTATGAGACTACTCTAGGGTCAGTCAGGTTAAGCTAGGTTTACGTTAGGTTAGGCTACCTTTTACCCTCTTCGCCACTGATCGGCTTGTTAGCCGCTTGGGCGATCGGTCACGTCTCTTTTCATTTATCTTCACCAAAAGATCGGCTCCCTAGCCGCCCGGGCGATCGGTCACGTCTCTGTCACGCACTGTTGGCAAATACTGGGCATGCACCGGCTCCTGAATGTACCTGAACCCGCTCCAGTGTTGGTCAAGTCTTGTCTTGAAAGAGCTCACACTCGGTGCCGTCACAACACTCTCTGGTAGATTGTTCCAAGAGTTTACAACCTTCACTCCGAAAAAGTTTGCCCTCACGGTTTTCTGGACTTGCGGCTTCTTCAATCTTGAGCTGTGACCCCTTGTGGGGCGAGCGTTCGCCAGCTCCAAGTAAGGACACTACTGAGTAGTGCCCCCTGAGATGCTTAAACACCTCAACTAGATCCCCCCCCTTGCCCGTCTGTAGTATAAGCTAGGCAAGTTCAGGCGCTCCAATCTCTCAGGGTAGCTGAGGTGCCGAAGTGCAAGCACCAGTCTGGTGGCCCTCCTTTGAACATTTTCAACCAACTGACAGTCCCTAGCATATCTCGGGGACCAGATGGGGTGACAGTACTCCAGATGGGGAAGTACTTCACTCTTGAAGATCGTTACGAGGGACAGACCGTCTAGATATCTGAACGACCTTCTTATAAGACCCAATAATTTATTTGCCTGATTTATCTTCTTCTCACAATGGCCCGAGAACTTCAGCTCATTGTCAACATCCACACCTAGGTCCTTCTCACACACAGTCTCAACTAGTGCAGTCTCTTCATCCCGTTGGGACACATGATACGCCTCCTTACCGTTGGTACGCCCCAGGTGCATCCTCTTACACTTCGTGACATTGAATCTCAGCAGCCATTTCTTCGACCATTCTTGGAGGCCACAGAGGTCCTTCTGCAGCTCTTCACAGTCCGCATGGTTCTTAATTTCCCGAAATAACTTGGCGTCATCGGCAAACATTTGTATGGAGGAGTGTACAACGTCAGGTATGTCATTTATGAAACAAACAAACAACAGCGGGCCCAATACACTGCCCTGTGGTACCCCACTTGTGACAGGTACAGATGACGATTTCGTGCCATTAATCACCACACACTGCTTGCGGTCATGTAGAAAGTCTTCTATCCACGCTAGGACATTTCCCCGAATTCCGTACCCTTCCAGTTTGATTTTCAGCCTTTCGTGGGGTACACTGTTGAAAGCCTTGGCAAAATCTAGGTAAATATGGCGATATTACCACCCCGTTCCAGAATATGGGTCCAAATATCCAATACCTTGAGCAATTGTTAGGTAGTAGGTAGTAAGCAGCTACCAAACAGGGAGGTACTACCGCCTGGGAAGATATTGGAAGCATAATGTGTTGTCTAATGGTAGACCCTGCTGCTATATGGCATCACGAAAATTGTGACCAAGTCCCAGGTTGCTCATCTTTCTTTCTGCCTCATTTACACACAATTGCAGGGTCTCAACTGTCTCTTACTGTTGACAACACCACAACTAAAACCGTACTCATTCTCGATCTGTTTTATTCATTCTATTTTATTCTCCTGTGTCAGTTGATATTAATACTGAAGCGGGGCCTTCTCGGATGGGTCCCACTGGTCGGGAAGGTTGT